CCACTCCCAAGCCATAGAAAAGCCATGAGAGCCTTGCCACATCATCAAACTATTAATGGCAAGAAGCCAAGCCACTTTCAAGCCTCCTTAAAAAGGTTTTAACTCCTCCCATGAATCACTCTAACCCATGTTTAACCAAATCTCTTCGAATGGTGACTTATCCCCCAATGATTAAGCTGAACCAAATGATCTCCTCTTCAGCCCAAGACCAACCTTAATCATGATTTGACCCAAAATGACCCAAAATGACCCTTTTCCCATACTATTTAAATCCCATACCTTTACACATGGCCAACCCCAATTGACTTCACCAAGACGAAGCCCTGACCTCCATAAGTTAGATGGTGACCCCTCCCTGGCCGGCCAGCCACCTTGGTAGCTGGAAAACTCAAAATCAAAAGCTCCTCCATGGCCAAAAATCAAAATTAAGTTCATCCAAGCTGGCCCATCCCAATTAAATTTTTACACATTGTTGGTATCCACATAAGCAACTTAGGACACCCACCATTTGCCCCTGGTGGCCTCTTCTTCCCCATCTATTTAAACCCACCCTCCATGAAAAAAAGGAAGAAAGCTTGAAATTATTAGGGAGACTCTGTTAAATTACTTTCAGAGCTTCTTTGAGAACTTTTGAGTTTAACCCAACCATCCTTAGCCAAATTAATTGCACCCACACCATCCCCACATTAAGAGAAGAAGATCCCTCACAAAAGCCCCATCACCAGAGCACCCTAAGGTAGACTTTGATCGAACCCCTAAATCGACTTTGGTTGAATTCATATCTAGGAGATTCACCACGGCTTGAGGCTCCATCCCTGGGCTCTTGGGACTCCCACGAAGCTTCCACAAGCATCAAATTGAGGCTTTCCCTCTTGGACCAAGGTATTGAAAGTTAACCCTAAATCAAGCTTCATTTGATTTTTCATGCGTGTAAAGTTGATTTAAGGGTCAATTAACCGTATGGATATGTTCTCCTAGTTGAGACGACTCTATAGGAATAAACCACACTTGATTTGGTTGAGAATCGAGCAAGATATTAAGGTTTGAAAACAGACGGTTTGCGGGTTCGCTTCGTTGGGGATGATGACCGAGCACCGTTGGATTGCGCGTGTATCATACAGACGGCTTTGATCATGCTGGATGGGGAGATGGAACGGAACTGCGGGCTGACAAGGCGGACGTGTAGACGACGATGTCAAACAGGAGCGCGTTGCGTGGAGTTTTCGGATCTGTCTAGGATGCGCTGGCGCCGCGTCACTTAAGTTGGAAAGTACGGATTTTCTGATTTAAATAAAAAGCCATAACTTCAAAAATGCATAACTTTGTGTAGAAAAATCATAAAAATAAAATAATGATACTCTATTGCTCAGTGAAGAGAAGAGAACAATGTGGAAATATTTTTATGTTTATTTGATGCATATTTTATTTTTAATCAATTAAATAGTGTTTTCCTTATTTTGATTCTCCATTAACATAGACATTTCGCCATGACTTGATCTCGGGGCTTCGATTCTACATGTTATGGGGATGCTCTTTCTGATTTTTCCAAGGTTAGGAGAAATCTCTAGGCGTGGATCTCTAATTTTTCAAGTTAATGGTATCTGTTTTGATATAAAAATTATAATAATTAAAATATTGGAGTTGTTTAAAGATTTACAATTTTAAACTTTTGGAAAGATTTATAAGTTCTAATTGCTTAGGATTTTGAAGTTTTAATAGTATTTCAACATTTCTTAAGTTTTAATTGTTTAAATTTTGAAGTTTTAATTTTTCATGTTTTTTGTAGTCTAAAAAAGATTTTTGAAGTTTTAAAATTTTAGGATTTCTTAAGAAAGTTTTAAGTTCTAATTGTTAAGGATTTTGAAGTTTTAGAAAGTTGTTAAGATTTGAATTGAGGAAAGTTTAATTCAGTTTGAAAGGGATTCACATAAGAGTTGGATTAAAATGGTTGGGTTTAGGAAATGTTAATTTGAAGATTTTAAATGCTATACTGAATGGACAGGGTAGGTTAGAAGAATTTTTAAATAGAAGTGAAACCCAAATCCTAATATAAACGTAAACTCCTTAAAGAGGCTAAATAGGCGGACTAACTTAATTTTTTGGGTATAATGCCCCCAATCAAAAAGTGTATAGGTTTTCATCATCCTGGGTTCATTGGTATCCTTAAACTACTAACTAACCAGACAGTTAGAAGCATTGACTTAATATCATCACGATGGCGAGTGTAAACTTTCTTAACTTAATGTAGTTTGAGATGTCTTTGTCAGTAACCAAGTGTTACTTCATCCTAGGGCATTTACATAATCTAAGGAGGTAATTGGGGTACCTAGTAAACGAATATAGGCTTCTAGTTTGGACTAATCTAGGGTATGTCTAATCTTGGGCTTTATTTCTATGTTGGCTACCCTATGGTTCACAATTGATCTACCTAATGTTGCTTTCTATTGTTTAAATAGGTGAATTTTTAATTTATTCTGAGGTTTGATATCTAACTCAAGATTTGGCTTAACTCTTAGTTTTTTTCAGTGAATGTGAAAATCAGGATATTCTACGTTCAAATTCTTGCATTAAGTTTTATAACCTAAGTTAGTGTTCTCCTTTAATTTTTCCTCCTAATTTTGATTTCTAGTTTTAGTTTGCTCTTCTAAGTTAAATCTTACATTTCAAAAGGGCATTTTGTATGTGTCATTCAATGCTTATATTTTCCATACTTTAAGTTTTATAAATATGCTTAATTTTTAAAATTTTATTTGTAAACATGAAAAAGGAAGATAATATTGATAATTATGTGTGTAAAATATTTTTCTATTTTTATCATACAAAAGTATCGTTTAAGCATGTAAATTAATTAAGTTAAACGTATGCAATTATGAATTTTTTTTTAGTTCTATGTTTGTGACTACATTTACTTTGACATATGTTTATGTGATATATTTTCTAATTTCTTATATTGGATCATTATTTGCTTTTGGGTTTATACATATATATGTTCCTTTCCTTCGATGTGCACTTTCCTTAGATTAAATGGGAATACTTTTACATATTGTTGTTATTAGTGCTACTCTCTTAAGCAATATGTTACGATCAATGTTAAAATGTATTTCTTTTGCATTAATACTATCCAATTCAGTTTATTTATTGGTTGTTTGGAAAATTAATATGGTCATGGAGAAATATCTCTTTGTTTTGCTTCTAGCTACTACTATCTTGTTTTTGTTGATGATTGTTCATTTTATTTGGAGTTTGGTTGTATTATTAAGCTTACTTCTTCGGAAATTTTAGTATAGGGGCTTCGTTATAAGTGAAGTAATATATA